AGTTTTGGCTGACGATGAGCCCAAGCCTGATCCTTATTGGTTAGAGACGTTCTTTGGTTTTGCTCCTGAAGAAGCTGGGAAGTCTCCTCAGTGGGGACATTGCGGGATTCTTAGTCCTCTTTTGGTTAATGTATGTCTCGATGAGCTCGATCGTTGGATGGAATCGAAAGTGAAAGATTTTTACCGTCCTTCTAAAAGCGATGTTATTTGGAATAACCCTGAAGGAGAAGCGGATCAAGGAAACACTTCCTGGCCGGAATTCGTTCCCACGAGCGGTCCTGATAAAACAAGGAAAATGGATTTTGTTAGATACGGAGGTCATATATTGATCGGAGTCCGTGGACCTAGAGCTGATGCTGCAACATTGAGGAAAGAGCTAATTGAGTTTGTTGATCAAAAGTATATGCTTAGACTCGACAACGAGAATCTCCCCATAGAACATATAACCAAAGGTATAATGTTTCTTGATCATGTTTTGTGTCGCCGAGTTGTTTATCCGACTTTGAGGTATACTGCGACGGGTGGGAAGATTATAAGTGAAAAAGGTGTGGGAACGCTTTTATCCGTTACTGCGAGTTTGAAGCAATGCATCAAACAGTTCCGAAAGCTGAATTTTATAAAAGGAGATCGAGATCCTGATCCACAACCTTGTTTCAGAATGTTCCACGCCACTCAAGCTCATACAAACGCGCAGATGAATAAGTTTTTGACTACGGTTGCTGAGTGGTATCGGTTTGCAGATAACCGGAAAAAGATTGTCAATTTTTGTTCTTATATTATTCGTGGTTCGCTTGCTAAGCTTTATGCGGCAAAGTATAAGCTTAGATCGCGAGCAAAGGTGTATAAGCACGGTAAGCGGAATCTGAGCCTTCCGTTAAAGGAGAAGAAAGGTCTATCACCTGATTACCAGAATCTCTTGAGAATGGGTCTTGCCGAATCAGTTGAGGGACTTGTCTATACAAGAATGTCTCTTGTTCCAGAAACCGATTACTCGCCTTTTCCGGGTAATTGGAGACCCGAGCACGAGAAGTTTTTGATCGAGTTCTTAACGCTTGATGAACCGAAAACCATAGAAGACCAAAAGAGATTTATTAGAGAGAATGGACTCGTATCGCCTCAGGATTACACATCGATGTTGGTTTGGAACTATAAAAGAAATGCAATTCCTATGGATCAAGTTTCGATTCTAAAGGATCAACCTTTCTTGTTGGGATCATCAAGCAACGGCAACCGCAACA